CATCATCTTCTTCCTCCAGCAAACAAACCCAGCACCAAACAAAACCAGCACCTGGGTTGAATCGAACCCAACAACGCCCTTTTTTTTTCCTTCCTCTTCCTTGCCTTGCTTTCTTCATCATCATCAAACACATCATCATCAAACATCAAAACCACAGAAAAAAAAATATATTTTTTACCCCTGGGTTCGAGGGAACCCAGTGCTTGGGTTCCTTCGAACCCAGTGCCTGGGTTCCATGGAACCTAGGCGCTGGGTTCCGGCATGGGTTGAAACCCAGGCGTAACCCCTGGGTTCCTTGGAACCCAACCCGACCAAGCGTGCTGGGTTCCTTGCGAACCCAGCGCTTGGGTCGGTTCGAAGGAACCCAGGCTTGCTGGGTTCCGAGGGGAAAGAGAAGGGAAAGGAGAAGGAGAAAGAAAAAGAAAAAAGAAAAAAAAAAGAAAAAAGAAAAAAAATTTTAAATTTTATTTTTCATAATATTTTTTTATATTATTATTTTTTCCACATCATCACTTTTTGACTATATTAACTTCCACGTGGATTATTAGATGACATGTCATCGTGTTCCCGTTAGTTAACAGTACACGTCACTAGATTTTTAACGGAAGGATCAAATTGGGGTAAAAATGGTAAACAGTATGGACCAAATTAGGGATTTTTTTAGTTCAGGGACCAAATCGGGGGTTCGTACAATAGTTCAGGGACCAAAAAGGGGTTTTAACCTACTTTTTAATATGATTAGTATATTCGAAGCAGTTGATCATCTTGAACCATTTAAGGCACTCATTGCTACAGGGTACAGTGGTGTGGATGTCAAATTGGTTGAGAAATTTGAGTTGGGTGTCTCAAACAAAGCCCTTGAATTTCTAAAGATGAACCCTATTGGAAAGGTATTTGTTTGACATGAGATGTTGCAAAACAACAATCTTTAGTCATAATTCCATTGATCGTTATAGTGAAAATAATTCTCTCTCCTTCCCTCCAGTCCTTTGTGGTCCTTTGATGATTTCCTTCAAACTCATGAGATTCATTCGATTTGTTACAATTACCAACTTGAAGGTTGATAATCCATTTTATGGTTCTACTTTAATTGATTATGTAAGAACTTTTATCATCCTACTATCTTTTTAATTCTTGCATTCAAGAGATGTCTGAGTAAATTTTGTTGTGTGTCACACAATCTTTATTATGATATATTTTTTCAATTTTTTAGGCCCACTTGGAACAGTAGATTAATTTTGCATCAATAGAGATTGATCCTAACGTTTCAAAATGGTTTTATCCTAGTAAGGGATGTGGTGTTTTCTTTGCTCTTGTGAGTTGTTTTTATAGCTCTAGAAATTCTTTTATAAGCAATTTTCACATTCCTTTTTTTGCCAAAACATGTAGAACTTTTTTCAAATTGCAAATTTCCTCTTTTTTTTTTTTTTTTTTTTTTT